GTCAGAAGCCCCCGCCGACGGACATCCAGAACGGCATCTTCCCCGACTGCGTGCGCCAGATCAAGCAGCTCGTCGGCCGCCGCTCGCGCCACGGCGACTACGAGTACGAGGTCAAGTGGGCCAAGCAGGACGGCACGTCCATGGAGGACAACAAGAACCTCTACCTACCCAAGGTCGTCCTCGAGTCCAACGGCTTCTTCAAGCTCATGAAGGCCATCGACGACAAGATCGCCGCCGAGGCCGGCAACGTCAAGCCCCTCACGACGGGCTGCATCCAGAAGCACCTCGACGACTTCGGCCTCATGGAGGAGTTCGGCACCTACGGCAAGATGAAGAACCTCTCCGGCGGCCAGAAGGTCAAGTGCGTCATCGGCGCGTCCATGTGGTTCTGCCCCCACCTCGTCATCCTCGACGAGCCGACGAACTACCTCGACCGCGACTCGCTCGGCGCGCTCTCGCGCGCGATCAAGGACTTCGAGGGCGGCGTGCTCATGATCTCGCACAACGCCGAGTTCTTCGGCGACATCGCGCCCGAGATCTGGGAGATCCCCGGCGACCAGAAGGTCCACATCTCCGGCGCCGAGTGGATGGAGGCCGTCCGCGCCCGCGAGCTCGCGGAGCAGAAGATGAAGAAGAAGGCCGCGCCGACCCAGGAGGAGGACAAGTTCGACGCCCTGGGCAACAAGATCGAGACCGAGACCAAGGCCGCGGACGTCGACCGCGACATGATCAAGCTCATGACGAAGAAGCTCAAGGGCCTCAAGGAGCGCCTCAAGAAGGGCGACGCGTCCGTCGAGGACGAGATGTTCGAGCTCGAGGAGAAGCTCGACGCGGCCAACGCGATGATGAAGAAGGAGAAGGAGGCCGCCAAGGCCGAGAAGGAGGCCCAGAAGAAGCTCAACAAGAAGGAGAAGGCCCCCGCCGACAAGAAGAAGGCGTCCAAGAAGAAGTAGATCTTCTTCGCGCTCGCTCGCGGGACCGCGCGCCCTTCGGGTCTTCAGTCGCCGGTCGCTTTCGCCCCTCCTTGTGTCATAAAAAGAAAATTCCAATGTACCCTTTCTACGAGCCGCGCATATGGCAATAGATGACGTCGTCCGAGCTCCTAACTTATTCAAGTTGACGTCGTTGCCTTCCTCGTTGACTTTCAGCCTCGCGAGCTGCGCCGACGCGCTGCTTGTCGACCTCAACCGCGCCCAACGACCGCGCGCCATGCTGCTGCGCGCGCTGCGACGCAGCGCCGTCGCACCGTCGACGGCGCGGTGCGCGTCGACGAGCAGCCCGAGGTTCGCCTTCGTCGGCGCCGGCAAGATGGCCGAGGCCATGCTCGCGCCGCTGGCGAAGACCGAGATCCTGGGCGCTCTGCCGGAGATCACGTTCTACGACGTGTCCTGCGCCGTCGCGCAGCGCGTCGCGACCAAGTACCCGGCGGCGGCGCGCGCCGAGACGCTGGAGGCCTGCGTGGACGGCGCGGACGTCGTCGTCCTGTGCACGAAGCCGCAGAACTGCGACGCCGTCTTCGACCGGCTCAGGCCCCTCGTGGCCGACGCGGACCCCGTGCTCCTGTCCATCCTGGCCGGCGTGCCCATGCACCGCTACTACGACGGGCTGGGCCTGTCGAAGATCGCGCGGTCCATGCCGAACACGCCGGGGCAGATCGGCGCGGGGGTGACCGTGTGGACGAAGAACGCGGCCGCGGCCTTCAGCGACGACGAGGTCGTGCTCTGCCGCGAGGCGTTGAAAGCCATGGGCACGGAGATCTTCGTCGAGGACGAGTCCTTCATCGACATGTCGACGTCGATCAGCGGCTCGGGCCCCGCGTACGTCTTCATGCTCATCGAGGCCATGGTCGACGCGGGCGTCCAGGAAGGCTTCTCGCGGGACATCGCCACGGAACTGGTCCACCAGACGATCCTGGGCAGCGTCCAGTACTCCATCGCGTCGGGCGAGCACCCCGCGGTGCTCAAGAACTCGGTGACGTCGCCCGCGGGCACGACCGCGTCCGCGATCTACACGCTCGAGCGCGGCAACTTCCGCACGGTCGTCCAGGACGCGATCTGGGCCTGCTACCGCCGGTCTCTGGAGATGGGCGGCCAGTCGACGAACGTCGGGCCCGGCCGGTCCAAGTCGCACCCGCCCCCGGGCGAGTTCCCCGACGCCGTCGAGGCCTAACCGGTTAGAATTCGCAGGCCGGTCAGTCGCGGAGGACCCGGGCCCAGTCGTCCGCGGGGAGGCAGGCCGGGTCGCGGTCCGCGGCCCACTCGCGCGCCTCGGCGGCGACGTAGACGGAGCCGCAGACGAGGACGGCCGCGTCGGGCCGCGGGTCGCGCGTCGCGGCGTCGAGGACGTCGTAGGAGCCCGGCGTGGCGCGCGCGGCGACCTTGCCCCGGAGCGCGCCCTCGCCGGCCGCCGCCGCGAGCGCGGCCGCGGCCGCGGGCCGCTTCGACGGCGGCAGCGCGTCGGCGCCCTTGGAGAAGGCGGCCTCGACGAAGCTGATGGACTCGACGGAGCCGGAGAACGCCGCGAGCGCCGCGAGCATGTCCTCGCGGCCCTCCTTCTCGGCGCCGCAGCCGAAGACGACGGTCCACGCGGCCACCTCGGGGTAGGCCGCCGCCGCGTCCTCGAGGAGCCGGCGCACGGAGTCGCCGTTGTGCGCCGCGTCGACCAAGAGCGGCCGCCGGCCCGCGACGTGGATGCGCTCGAAGCGCGCGGGCCACCGCGCGGCCTCGAGGCCGGCCGTGTCGACGCCCAGCGCCGCGCAGGCGGCCTCGACGAGCGCCCGGTTCTCGCGCTGCGTGCTCGGCCCCGCGCCGGGCCCCGCGGGCACCGCGACGACCCGGAGGTCCGCGCCGACCGCCGCCGCGCGTTCCCGGAGCGCGCGGAGCACGTCCGGGTGCTGCGTCGCCGGCGTCAGCGCCGTGACGCCCCGGCGCATGACGCCGGCCTTGTGGCCCGCGATCTCGGCGAGCGTCGAGCCGAGCATGGTCGTGTGGTCCAGGGAGATGGACGTGATGACCGCGAGCTCGAGGTCCTCGGCTCCGAAGAAGTTCGTCGAGTCGTAGAGGCCGCCGATGCCCGCCTCCAGCACGAGCACGCCGCAGCCCTCGGCGCCGAAGTGGAGGAGCGCCGCCGCGAGGAGCCGGTCGAAGAAGACGCAGCCCCACGCCTCGGCCCGGGCCGCGTCCGCGCGGGCGAGCGCGTCGCGGCCGTGCCGTTCGAGCGCCGCGGCGGACACGGGCGTGGCGCCGACGCGCACGCGCTCGCGGCAGCCGTGGAGGTGGGGGCTCGTGAAGCAGCCCACGGCGCCGTACGTGCCATCTTCGTGGAGCGCCGCGCGGAGCAGCTCGCTGCACGAGCCCTTGCCCTTTGTGCCCACGACGGACACGACGCGCGGCGTCCGCCGGCCCGCGAAGGCGTCGTCGAAGACGCGCCGCTGGAACGCGTGCCGCGCCGCCGCGCGGTCCTCCTGCGCGAGGCCCAGGTCCGCCACGGGGATCTTCGGCGGCGCCAGGAGCTTGTCGACCATGCATCTCGCGCCCGCCGCGCCGCGCTCGACCTCGCTCAGCGACGCCATGCGGCGCGCGACCGTTCGTGAGCTCGCGAAACGACGGGAGAGCAGCGGGAGCATGTAGAGGAGGCCCAGGCGCATGCGCGCGCGGCCTCCAACCTCCTCGCAAAGTGCGTCGCGACGCAATTGCAGCCGTGGGCTTGCAAGTCTTTGCTCGTCAACCAAGCGTCAACCAGGCTTCACGTTGCCGTCAATGACGCCGAGCCGTGCGGCCAATCGACCGCTTCGCCGACCTCTCCCACTTCGCCGACCCCTCCCCGTCCTAATAAGACTTTACATACAAAAATACAGGCGACTACACGTCCCCCACCTCCACTCCCCCGCCCCGCGCGGCGTGCTGCTTCTTGATCGCCGCGAGGAGCTTCGCGGGGCCGACGCCCATGCGCGCGGCGTTCGCGACGAGCGCGTCGACGTCGCGGACCTTGGACGCCATGCCGTGGCGCGTGCAGAAGTCGACGATGGCCCGCTTGGCCGCGTCGTCGTCCGTCTCGCCGGCGGCGGCGTCGGCGTCGTTCTCCGCGAAGCGGTGGAAGAGGAAGTCCGGGAGGAGCACGTCGCAGTCCGCGTTGTCGTCCGACCCGGCGACGTGCGGGATCGGCGGCGGCGGCGCGGGCAGCGCGCGCTGCCCCGGCGGCGGCGAGGCCGGCGACGACGCGCAGATGAAGCTCCGGGCGGCGGGGTGGAAGCAGAGGCCGTTGTCGTCGCCCGCGTCCGGGAGGAGGAAGCCGCCGCAGATGTCCTCCCCCTCCGTCTCCGCGACCTCGAAGGCGACCTCGAAGGGGGGTTTCTCGTCGAAATCGTCGACGACGATGCCCTCGTCGTCTCCGCCCTTGAGCGACGACGAGGACCGGTGGAGGAACGACGACGACGCGCGCTCGAGCGCGCGCTTGACCTCGACGGCCTCCTTCTCGGCGACCTCGTCGAGGTAGCGGACGACGGAGATGGCCGCGACGAGCGAGAAGACCATGAAGACGATGACGAAGGCGACGACGACGGCGCTCGTGGACGTGCCCTTGTCGTCGTCGTCGTCGGCGTCGCCGTCCTCGTGCGGCGAGTTCATGAGCAGGAGCGTCGACAGGGGCGGCAGCGAGTCCATGGCCTCGCAGAAGAGCATGTCCTGGGCCATCTCCGGGAGGAAGAGGAACAGGGACGCGACGAGGGCCGGCAGGAGGCCCAGCGCGTACCAGAGCCGGGACCCGAACTGCTTCGCCTCCCGTTCCAGGTCGTCGAGGACGGTCGCTCGGTCGTAGCGCGCGTCGCGCAGGAGCCGCGCGGCGCCGAGCTCCGGCATCATCCCGACGAGGTAGGCCGCCGGGCCGTCGGGGAAGGCGTCGCACGCGAAGGGGAACGCGCGGGCCCGGGGCGCGGCCATCTCGCGAGCGATGAGCCAGGGCATGATCACGTAGTTGAGCGCGACCCTCAGGCTCTCGACGACGAAGAACTCGAACCAGAGCGCGAAGAGCGCGTTGTCGAGCCATGGTGCCAGCCGCCGTCGTCGAAGCCCGAAACCGACACGTCGTCGTTGTTGCCGTGGCCGTGGCGCTCTACGAGGACGTTCTCCGAGCAGCAGTTGCTCTTCAGCGTGAAGGACCCCAAGTTGGTGTCGTCGTCTCCGTAGCTGAAGAACACGCCGTCTATCCACGAGGTCGTGTCGCGCTGCAGCCACAGACACACGGTTCGATCGCTGTTCCCGAGGATGTTCGCCGTCACGGCCGCCGGAAACTCGACGTAGTCGTCGCTCCCGTCGAAGGACAGCGCGCCGCTCCCAAACAGACCCGTCGTCGCCGTCGCGCCGGTGATCGTCCCGTCGAGGCTGCTGTCGCTGTCCTCGGTGGCCGTCCCGTCGTCGAAGGAGTAGTGCGCGACCAGCGTGGAGTGGGACACGTGCGTCCAGCAGCTCCAAAGGAGCAGCCATGGCGCGCCGCCGCGCCGCTTGCGCGCCGACGCGCCGGCGCCAGGCATGTCGCGGGCGTGGGAGCTGCTGGAGTCAGCAGCTCCCGCGCTCCACCATCATCATCTATCTGGAGTCGTGCCAACTGAATCTTACTTCTTCATTACTTTTCCATGTTG